GACAACATGCCAACATCCGGGTTTATAACCGGGTTGGTGAACCACCGTTACTTCACTTAAGGAATTTGGTTAAAACCCTGATTCCAAAACAAAGAAAGTTGTACAAACCACATACATACCTTCCTGTTTCTAACAATGGTCGCTGGCTAGTTTGGGCCTCGAGGTCTATTGGGCACTTTTGCTCCGTCCAAAGGACGTATTATCTGATAAGCGGAACACTGGTCTACGATNTAGAACTCACTTTTCACACTTGACTTCGCTGCGAGGGTCAGACTTTGGCTTACCGACGGCTTCGTTTGCAGATTCACCCGAGAAATATGGCAGTATTCCGCGCACTAGCAACTGATTTCTTTACTATAACGTTTGTTGTATACTAATCTGTTTAGCACAATCTTAACTCCAAAAGATGTGAAATACAAACTATTTAATAGACTACCCAGAACTGTCGGAGAGTAAACCCTTGACCGGTTGAAGACACGTGAGATCCGAAGGAGGCTCTCTTGATGCTTCTTTTTCCTCAAATAATTTTAACTTATGAATGATATCCTTTAACTGTCAGAATATCGTGATGTGTGTGTAGTGTATTTTCGTTCTAGTTTACTTCGACCCGACATTACTCCTACGGATCGGAGTCAAAAGTAGGGTTCAGTTATAGAAATTTTATTTTATTGAATACTGCAATTTCATCGAGAAGTCACGCTGTCTAAACTTGATGCCCCTTCAAGCAGTTGCAAATACGCACTGGAACCTGTCACATTTTATACCAGGTTGACTTATTTTGATTGAGACTTTGGACATTCCGTGTTCACATCTCATCTTTAGGATGGTGGACGTCGGTGGTCAGCGATCGGAGCGCCGGAAATGGATCCACTGCTTTGAAAGCGTTACTTCCATTATGTTCTTAGTTGCACTGTCCGAATATGATCAAGTCTTAGTTGAGTCGGATAATGAGGTACGTTGATTCCGTTTGTTATAGATTTTTCTCTTTTAAGATCATTGTTGCTTCATTAATCCGCTGATTTGATTATCACTAAACTCATCGTGCCTTTTTTCATCAAAATGAAAGCATTCTGTGCTATTTGGTCAATGTTCAGTCTCCTGGCCCTCCAGGTTAAGGGTTCATCTCGAATAAGCGTCTCAGTCGGTAAAATGATAGAAGAGTAATCGATTCAAGTAAACGAGCCTCTACTTCGCTTTACCCGCTGTCTTGCGGTCAGGTTCTTGTCAGAACTAAAGGCTTTGGACGAGAACCCCTGTCGTTTTCCTGCTTATTGGCTGGGCATCCTGGCAGTACCCGTTCGAAAAACGTATGGTTGGAGATTGTGGTTTCACACACTTTCGAAATTACAGATATGAGAGTAATGAAACGGTAGCTTTTGGGGTCGGAAGGGTCACCGCGCTTTGGAATTGGAAAAATAATGGCATTTTTCCATGGATTAGGGAAAGATTTAAGATCGAATGAAAAACAGAAAAGGCGGCGTAGAACAGGGGCACACATTTTTAAGACGATAGGTGGAATACTGTCCGGACCGGGTGATTCACAAACATCCAAACCACGAAGAGTTTGGCGAACCTTTCTGGTTGTTGTGATAGGTAGAAAGGAGGGATTGGATGTGTAGGAGGGTTGAACAGTAGAGTCGACAGATGAGAGGTGTTGGAGGAAACCATCGCGACGAGCCTGCACCTCAACGTGAGGTGATAGCTTGCGCACCTCTCTGATCCAACGAGCTACACAGGGTGGCTTTTTTTTCAAGCCGAAGATCTAATCATGCCTGGAAGGTCGAAGGGTCAGACGAAGTCGTCTCCTGGTCCTCCAAGGAGAATGGACTCCAGGTTGGGGGTTCGACTAGAATTGGTGTGGTGGTGAATTGGTCTATTTGAAATTAACTGTTCATTCTCACAGGATTTCGTAGTATTAGTAGTAGTAGCAGTAGCAACTGTAGTCGAAAGCCACTGTTTCTTTTGGTGATTAATGTTTATTGGCAATCTTGCGATTATTTAGTGTTTGGATATACTTATTCATTCAGCATACGAGACCCGAAGACGGGATAATAACATTAATTCCGCACATGATCTCAACGATTAGAAAAACATGCATATCCTTATAAGTTACTATTTGCAATTCATCAACAAGTTTCACCGTCACAAATTGCTGGTATTTGGTAATAATACCACCCCAAATTTCAGGTACAAACTTTCTTCATTGTGTTCTACCCTAACTACCACGAAGCAGTAGGTTACTTGGAATATGCGGTCGGCTCTGCGGTACGTTTTAATGCTCACGTTCTGTTTAAGGATAAGAAACCGTCCACTGAAGATAGGTGATTACCTTGCCCATGGATTTGTCAAGGGCCATCAGTTGCAGTGCCCGAGTGCTTCGTGGTTCGCTTAGCAAGCAACTTGTCTCTAGAAAGCATGCACGGGTGCAAATCTGGTTCGCCGCAAAATAAGGCCATACTCGTCACTCTGCTGCTCTCCAGATAGCATTTGACTATATTAGGGCAAATGGACGGGTATTCAAAAAAGGTGCGGTGCTGAGCTTGCCACTGTACCATATTCTTCAATTTTTTTATAGATCGTTTCACAGAGAAACTCTTACACGCGAAAAGTAAAGACAGCTATATTTCAGCGGTCTTTTATCGAGACTCAAATGAAAGGTGTCTTTATCTGTCGTATCTCGCGCTGTATGAGAGTAATCAGTGAGTAAGTAGCCTTTGTCAGAAAAATGAGGATTCCTCTTGTGTGGCACCTAATATCACGGTTTTCTAAACCGGTTCTGTGTTAGTTGATTAGGCGTAGACGTAAACCATGTTCTTGATTTTCATAATTGTTCTGTTTTCCATTGGTAATCGTTTTTGCCGACCATTATTCTCCATCGCATTTTGACATGAAGGTATCTTTTCATCAATCGCCGAAACCGTTCATCAAAATAATCACATCTCACGATTGATCGGAGCAAATATGGCAGAAGATATGCTGTGTGACGCGTAGGGTGATATCAGCGGTTGCTGATTACTGAATTGAGGTCAATCACAGGTCCAACTCAGCCGAAGCGTCCTCGGGCATGTTACTTCGTTGCCATTTTCATGGTTTGTGAATGTTGGACCGCTTGTTGTTTATTCACTTTAAGGGGATCCTTTTAATCCAAAAACCTTTCACACCACTCGACTTGCTTTGTTTTTGACGTACATCTTGTAGGTTTTTGTGCGCCCCAAGCACCATAAAACTATATCTTATCATTTTGCGTATGTTATACGTTTGCGACGAATGCGAGTATGCGAAAAAGGTTCCCCTTGCAGCACGTGTATCTAATCATGTCTATTTTGAAGCAAAACACCTTGTTTATTGCATGGTACAACCAAGTCTGATTTTGACTGGGAAGTTCGTAAATAAATTTCAACATTGACCCAGACTGCAGATAACTGCGTCCGTTACTCTGAGTTGTCATTGTTAAAATAATGGTGGTAAACCTCAAACACATTTCATCAAAGCCTTACCATCGATCACAAAGGGTTTACCGGTTTAATCCACGGGATGCCGTACAATGTAATCAGAATTAACAGCACCAATTTTTTCAGCTACATCGTCAAACTTTACAGCTTGGTGGAGCGTTAACTTCGAAAACCGGATATAAGATAGTTTAATATGGCTTTCTGCATTCAAGTTCATGCGTTCTTCACCACGAACTGTTCGAAACGCATATTGATTTTGGTGGAGAAAAGCTTTCAACATCAGGTGAGCACAGTTCTCTCTAGGTCTGACTTGACTTAAGCTATCTACTTATAATGATGTATTATTGCCTCCGATGTCTTCCACCATCCACGACGTGATCACATTGTTTTATTGAAAACTTATTGATTGTTAGAAGTGCACAGGCGTTTTGAGTGACGCATTTCCTACCGGAAATGCCATTTGCGATGTGAGAAGTATGAACTACTCGTTTTGACCGCGTACCAAACAGTTCGAGAGCTAGGCAACAGTTCGGAATGATAGTCGGATGACTGTGAAACTACACTTCAGGTCGCGTGATGTGTGTGCTCATTTGATGCGTACCTAAAACGCGTGAACCGTGTCCTGAACCGGTACGAAGCGCCAACAGGATAGGCCAAGAATTGAGTTGTTTGTACGTATATATACCCAACAAAGCCCATAGGGTGTAATGTGGTGAATAATTTGATACAAGTTGATCATGAATCGGTTGTCTACTCAGTCCTCCAGTTTCGTGTGCAACATGTTGCTCAGATACTAAACAGAATTGTCTGCATCACGTCACAAATGCTTGTCGGTAGCATGGATTGATTTCGTATTTATGATTAGAGGAAAATAAGCGAGCTCGCAAGTTTTTCGGTTCCGTTAAAAAGTGGGTGAAAAACCGCAGGGATTCGTCCCGGAGTTTCACAATCACTAGCTCAAATAACGTGCCTTAAAGAAATTGTCACTTGGCTTGAATGATTTGTTCGAGCGCAGGATTGGCAATTAAAGATCACAACAGTAGCTACCAGAGAGAGAAACAAGATTGCCATTGGGACACAGACTTGTGAATCGTTCTTTTGAATCCCGTCGCATCATTCCTGTGGACAGCGCATAACTACTATTTTCAAAGTAGATTGCTTGTTCTTTGTGTCAAATAATTCGGTGAGACAAAGTTTACCGAAGAACTGTCAAGTCAGTGGTGCACAGAGCATGAGATGACTAATTCCGTTCAGTGCATTTTCATGCACCGGTTTTAGCTGCTGTCGGTGAGAGTCTAATTTCAGTTTTCAAAACATGAGCAATGTGGTTTTATCTCACGGTAAAATTCTACCCCGAAAACAGTGACGTGTTGATAGACTTGTTAGTTAGCTGAAATCTTTATATGAAGTGCGAACTTTATTCTACGTACTCACCGGGTACCAAAATGTATCTAGTCCATTGATCGGAAATGTGGAACGCGTTTTGGCCCAATTTTACTCGTTTTGTATTCATTGCTTGTATGGAGATTGAAAAGAGCAAGATTCATTCGGATTGACTGCCAGCTAACCGGTCGATCTCGTATCGACTTATTGCCGATTGACTGCCATTAGCCGGTCGTTAAAAAACGTCGTAATAGCTGATTCTTAGTCACATGCATTAAGCGGGGCCGTACTGTGGTGTAGAAGTGCAGCTTATGGTTTCTCACGAATCAGTACTCGTGTTGTCCCATTGAAGCTACTGGAGTAAGTTGTGATATTTTGATACAGCCTTTCTCATCGAACAGTCCCAAATCAGTGGTCGGTGCTACCGCGCAGTAAGAGCGACATTATCTTTTATCGTCTGTGTCGAGCACTTCATTTTAAACTAGAAAAATTCTGTTTGGTATTTTTTAAAATTTTGTTCTCGATACAAACAACTAAAAACTGTACGCGTAACTTGATTTTTAGAATCGAATGGAAGAGAGCAAAGCTTTGTTCCGCACTATAATCAGTTACCCATGGTTCCAGGAGTCTTCTGTGATTCTGTTTCTGAACAAGAAGGATTTATTGGAAGAAAAAATCATGTATTCACACCTTGTGGATTACTTCCCGGAATATGATGGTGAGCTCTCAATTCACTGGTAATCGCGATTTGAGCTCGATATTCATTTCCTGATTGTTTAGTTGCTCTTCATGTAGCACTTCAGTGACTCCTTGGAGTATAGACTACTCGGCCTGTTATCGGTACCCACCTTTTAGCCAATCACTCGTTGTCTCTGTGTAAACTAACCGAAAACTTCTGTGTATCGCACGACATGCTGATAGTCTTTCAAATGGGCGCGAGCGCGGACATACTGACCTGTGTATTTCGAGCTTCTGTCCTAGCGCTCACACTTGCTCACTGAATACTCTATGCTTGTTAATGCCATGTCCAATCATTGTGTCCAGCTCAAGCAATAAAGCAGGAAAAACTGCTATTCAAATACCTTGATACTCATGCAAAAACAAGTGATGCCAAATGCTTATTAATGACCAAAAAGCTAATATCGGTAACTTAAACAAAGAATAAACTGCTGTCTGTGTCTTTGGGCTTGTTGGTTGGTGATCGGTGTGCCTGAGAAGTATATAAACCTTCTAGAGGCCGTCTACTCAAACACACCAGGCCGCGTCAAGGTCTANCTACGCCAGATCCTCGAGCAACGTCAAACGTTCAATAGACCGACCATCATTGTGTTTTTGGACATACGTGCTGTGTTTGACTCAGTTGACAGAGCAGCTCTTTGGACTTGTCTGTTAGGGAGCGGTGTGCCTGCGAAGTATATAAACCTTCTAGAGGCCGTCTACTCAAACACACCAGGCCGCGTCAAGGTCTATGATCGCACCTCCCCGTCATTTACCATCACAAGCGGAATTCGACAAGGGTACCCAGCTTCGCCCTTCCTCTTTAAGTTCGTAATAGGCAAAATCCTAAGCAACGCTCTAGAAAACTGCAGCGCTCTCGGTGTGGAGCTCCTCCAAGGTGATCGACTCCGTGACTTGGAATATGCTGACGACATCGTTTTACTCTGCGACTCCTCCCAGGACGCTCAAAACGNNNNCCTTGAAAGGCCGCGTTTACAATGCAACAGTACGCTCTACCCTACTCTACGGCTGTGAGAGTTGGCCCCTCCACGCAGAAGACGTACGGAGATTAAGTATCTGACCACCGTTGCCTTCGTTGCATCTCCAGAATACGTTGGCAACAGCGAATCACCAACAACGAGGTTCGCCGAAGAATCCTCACCGCAAACAATCTCAGTCGTCCTCTGAGTGCCGCCATCTCAATCCAGAGACTTCGATGGCTAGGACATGTGTTGCGGATACCGGCTCAACGATTTTCCCATCGTGTTATGTTTGCGCAAGCAGACACAAACTGGAAGCGGCGACAGCGAATAACCTGTACTCGAACAATGAAGGCGCTAACCTCAAAACTGGCAGTGGTAGGGTGCTCTAGACTCCCATGTTGGGGGCCCAAGGACAGAGAACATCTATAGCTTGATACGCTTGGAGACATGGCTGGTAACCGATGTCAATGGCGCACCTGTTGCGAGACTATTATTCGTTGATTTACATTTTAGCCGTTTTCACATCTCTTTCTTCATACGTTGTGGCACATCTGCCAATTCTATGTAACTGACTGAGTGTTAAATATAATATATACACACAGGCTTCAGGTGCGCTCAGTTTTCCAACCGGCGCGTTGAAATCACCTGCCAGCACTATAATATTACAGCTGCAACTCAACCGAAGCAGTTCGGCGAGTTTATCGTAAAATTCGTCTTTTTGTGAAGCGGGACTGCAGTTGGTAATTGCATAGGCGGAAATGATGAACAAACACCTTTTGGTGTTGCTACCGTTTCAAACTCTGACTGAAACCTTTAGCCGCAGTGCGCACAAACGACCATTGACGGTTATCCAACCTATCATAGAGGCTTCAGCCTTTTCGTTTAGTACGATCCCTACACCACGCTGACTCAGTGAGCGGGCTTCGTCGTTTCCTGATGTGCGAAGGAAATACCTCGAGGACAGACCGGGTGCACTCAGGTGGCTTATGATACTAGGATCCTGAATTCCTGTCTCCGAGACGCAACAGACATCAATTTCTAAAGAATTCAGTGAACGCGCAAGACACGTTTGCTGACCCACCTGCATCAGTCCTCACTTGAAGCTCCCCAAATTGAGAGGTTGACAAGGCTTCAAAACCTGCACTTTATTTACCGACAAACTATTTACAGTGCTATTTGGCAATGACCTTTGGAGAGTGATGAACAAGTTGTCTGAGCGAATGTTACGGGTCGGAAGAAGCAGTAAAGGGATAGGGTTGGGTACGGAAGACAAGGAGTTAAACAAAGATTGGGATATCTGAGCAGTAAGCTACTTATCACTACTCACCCCGCTCGATGCAATGGGGGGCGCGGTCCTGATTATCTTGCACGACGACCGATGCAGTATGAAATTTGGCCAGCAGTCTGTTGTCAGTCGTGTGTGCAATATATAATAATACCACCCGGGCTCGGTGGAACTGGTTCACTAGTCTGTTCCGCTAGCCACCCAAATATGACAAGGGAGTTTATCACATCCCAAAGTGATGCGTGGGTCACTCATTAACCTTGAGCGATTTGAAATCACCTCACGCAATGAGGACGTTGGTATTTCAATGCGAAAGAATTGAGAACTGCGCTCATAAACAAATGTGAAACTGATTCATTTAGAGAAAACGCAAAACCCAAAACCGATTGATACAACGTAGAGACCGTTGTAAACGGCACACATGCATGCATGCATGCAGGCCGCCTGAGGTACAGGGGCAATTCTTCACGAGTGGTCACGGAACTGCTCCCAGTTTGAGCATTGTACAAGAGGATTTTAATATTCTGCGGGTTTACGACGAGTAGTTCCTTATCCTTCAAGACTCCATTTCCCGTTTCATTTCAAAGTTTGCATTGTTACGGATCAGAAGATACACTCAGTAATAAATTAGCACAGAATTAAATCTCAGATCCTCGCACACAGCCCAAATCTGTATTACTTCACAGAGCAATGGGGTCATTTGATGTTTTACGGACATCTCAAGAGCTGAAATGTGTTCATCGCAAATTGCAATATTATTCCGTGCGTGAATAGCCATTCAGAAGGACCGACTGCGAGGAACAGCGAGTTGAAACTTGGAAATCGAACTATTAAACCGCATTCAAAAACGATTCTGTTGTGCGATGTGCAACATTGAAATGGTTCAACAATAGATTGGAGTGACTGTGACTATCGTATTGAATCACAAGTACTCGCCCACCAGTACACCAGCGATAGCGTTGTGAAGTAATCGACCATTATTGGCACTAAAACAAACACGAACCGAATGTGAGTGGTCATCGGGAAGGCGGGGAAAATCAACGAAGAAGAGAATTACCTCATCCGCATTGTTCACATCTCCGTCAGTGAAGAAAATGATTTGTTTGTACCAATCTTTACCAGTCAAGGGAGATTGGAACGCCTCTTCCAAAGCCGGGTAGACTTCTGTTCCGCCTAAATCAGCTTCCAAATTCTTCTGATACTGCATCGCACGGGCCACATTTGCCTCGTTATAGTCAACTGGCCTATAATCATTATTCACATAGGATTAAGTGGGATTGGTTAAAACATTACAAATCATTGTACCATGCAGAATAATACAATAGACTAGAAAGCCAAATCGAAACGAAAATCAGTACAAAACACGAAAATAGTTAAATCACGAGATTTATATAATGTTTGTCTACATGTTTTTGAAACGGAAACATCCGAGTGGATAAAATTTGTGGCATCCGAAATCATACAGTAAATTAGTACTCTTAACACTTTTTTTACTGAACATCTTGCTACAGTTTACTGGCTCTGAAAACTGATTTCAAGCACCGTCGGATTCGTTGATACTTCAGTAACCGTTACTCTGTGAACGATCGAGAACCCAAGGCCCAAAATGAACAGCCCACATCGGGACAGATTATCCTTTAAGTCCCTTAAGTCCCTTATTTATTACTCACCGGTTACTCCAATCGGTCTATGGAAAACTCTTATTTTAGTGGACAGGTATTGGAGTGTATACCCGGATGGATGAATTCAATGCAACGATTATTAAAAACACACTGCGGGATGTTGCTGGTACAACGCAATTATTAGATTAGCCTGAAGGCAATCATCATTGTACAGCGTAATACAGTGAAGCGAACTTCACTGATCGCTGCCAGACTCATAATGCATCCAAGATAAGTGAGAATGTGTAAGGAGGGTAGGGATTGGACCTATTTTTAGGGACGGGAAAAGAAAGTGAACCTCTGCGGTCAACACACAGAGTAAACAGTTCAACTGTGCATACATGCCACTTCAAGCATTCTGGTTTGATAA